TCATTAATTTATATAGAATTCAACTGATGTGCAGTCACAGGTGTGTGTATATATGAAAGACTTCAGTGATCAGATTTCAGAGCCGTTTTATAATGAATCTTTAATAACTGGAGGCCAGACGTACCATGTGGAGCTCCAAATCCAATCATTTTGTGTGCATGTGTGTCATTAAAATATCAAGTCAAGTACTAAATAAAACAGCTAATACTAAATACCCACAAATACAGCAACTGCTGAAAACGTTTATCTTTGTATAATGTCTCAATGTATTCGCCCTAAGCTCATAAAGCATAACAGTCACAGTCTGAGCTCATCTGTAGTTCATACACAGGCACACGGACTCCGAACCGCAGCCATCGCCGCCTCCCAAATGTCACCAACATTTACCCTGATAAGGCTCATAGGAGGCATTCAATCGCGCTTATCTCCCCCAACAGACCCACCGAGCTTTACAAACCCCGAGCCACTCATAAAACCAGTCATATTTTACAGTGCGCACCCTTTCTAGTGTCCACACGTCCTACCATTATATATTCGCTCAGTTTAACTGCTAAGCAAAGCAATAGCATTTTTTATAGCAAAAATATTAGACTTTATTTAATATCAGTACAAACATTTAAACTTAAAAAAAAATTAAATTAAAACTAATAAACATTAAATAAACACAAAATTAAATTAATAATAAATACATAAATATGTATTATTTAAATATATATAATATTTAATCTGTCAATATGCTTTAATTAGATTTTAATATGCAATTATACTTTGAATTTATATTTTGAATCAAAAATAAATGTATTATTTTATACATACATATATATCCGATTTTCTACTATGTTCCAATTTCCATTTTTACCTCCTTTCTCCCCGCCAATACATTCATCCTCTATGTCCAGCTCACTTCCTGATCCTACGTCACTTCCTTCCATCTCTGCTCCAGTCACACCCTAGTGTCACCAAGCGCCCTCGTCGTCTACTTCACTTTGTCAGGCAGTTCCTATTTAAGAGATTTCTTGATTGCGAACAGGTGTGGCAGTAATCAGGCCTGGGTGTGGCTAGAGAAATTGAACTCAGGTGTGATAAACCGCAGTTTTAAGAGGGGGGCAAACACTTCTTCACACAGGGTCATGTAGTTTTGGATTTTGTTTTCCTTTAATAATAAAAACCTTCATTTAAAAACTGCATGTTATGTTCACTTGTGTTATCTTTTACTAATATTTAAATTTGTTTGATGATCTGAAACATTAAAGTGTGACAAACATGCAAAAAAATAAGAAATCAGGAAGGGGGCCAACACTTTTTCACACCACTGTATATACATATATAAAACACCTACGTTGTTATGCTTAATTATATTTAATTTTTTACATTTTATTGAAATATTATATATATATATATATATATGTGTGTGTGTGTGTGTGTTTAATTAATGTTTATAAGGCCAGGGCTAATTATATTTTAATTTATATTGTAATTACTATTATCATTTTAATTATATTATAATTTGTGTATTTACTATTTTCTAACTATTAGTATTGTATTTAAAAACGTTCTAAAAATAATACATTAAACAAATGTAATTCATAATGTATTACACACACGCACAATATATAATCTGCTAATAAGCTGCAATTATATTTTAATCATATTTTGAATTAAAAATAAATATATACCATTTAATTGTTTTCACTTACATGAAAATATGTGTGCATACACATGTATGTTGTTTATAAGTGTTCATTATATTTTAATTTCTAAAATGTAATTATATTTTAAGTTTTATCATTTTAACTTATATTATAATTTATGCATTGCATTTTTTGTATTAGTATTATATTTAGAAAAAAACTGTCTAAAACTAATACATTAAACTAAATGATAATGTTATATTACACACACACATCAAATATCAAATATTTAATTTAACAGATTATTTAAAATAAAAAAAGGTTTCCGTTAGTTTCCTGTTCCTTGTTCAGTTCCAAAAGGATTAAACTAATATATAATGGAAAAACACAACCACAAACAGTGAACGGCTGCTGCAGAAGAGAGTGGACAGAGGACTGGATCGGTCTCTTGTCTCCAGCGGGTAAATAAACAATCAATACTCATCTAAATGCAGATGAGAGCGCGGTCCGCACCATCTAACGTTTCTCTTCTGGACCAACTACCCATCACATCCACTCAAAGTGCCTTCTGAGACACCATCTTGGACTAAAAGAGAAACAATCACCTGCAAGATGGGATACTGGGCTGGGACAGGGCAATGGCTCACTGCCCTCAGGGCAATTCTCTAGGTTTATTTCTAATTAAATTCCCTCTGAGGGCTCTCCTGGGCTGCGGTCAAATCAGTCCGTCTCTGAGGAGGCTGTGCATCAAACACAAGTACTCTCAAACCACTGGAACTAAAGATGCTATTATAACCGAGTGTGGTTGTACTTTTAAGGGCAAGCAGATATTTCAATTTTTTTTAACTGAGGCATTTCTAAGATGTCCCAAATCCAAAAAGAGAAAAACTAGGTTTGTTTGTTTGCCCCAAAGACTGAGCCAGACGAGAGGACTGAGTTGGCTATTCCTCTGATACCTTTAAAAAGACAAAGAAACACAGATCTCACAGAGACAGAGCATTTTTTTTTCTCTTATTCTCACCATCTTTGTTGTTTCTAGAAAAGCTGTCAAATACTTGTATGGTTTTTTTGCAGAAAGAGATGCCATCAGATTGCGTTTCCAACCCAAAATAGCATTCAAAACAGGCTCACGTTAGACTATTTGTGAATTTCAAAGTGCTAAATTGTTTAAAGTGAAAGGCAAATGTCATTGTGATGGATTATCTTTAAAATGACTACAGACAGATTAGCTGTACTAAAATAGCACATGTTGTTGTCATGTGAGGAAAGTCATTGAAATTTCGAGACTTGACAACTCTAAAAGAGCATGTTAAGGAGACTATAAAATAGCATCTACAAATCAAACAAAAGAACTTCGCAAGATGGCTTAAATTGCTTAAATATATAATTTTTAAAAACATTTAAAAAAATTGAAAATATGACAAAAGCCAAAACAATGACAAAACCATATATGAGAAAAATTTTAAAAGTGTGATTTCTAGATTTGGAAAAGTCATAGAAAATAATAAAATCTTAAAAAAAATTTTTTTTTTTTAAATATATAGGAATTTCTATCTTGAGTATACTTTTTCTATTTTTCTAGCTATGTCAAGTTCTAAAATGTTTTATCAGGTAGAAACTGAATTCTGGAAATATAATATAATATAATATAATATAATATAATATAATATAATATAATATAATATAATATAAATCAATTAATTTGAATATAATATAATATAATATAATATAATATAATATAATATAATATAATATAATATAATTAATTTGCCATTAAAATAATTATAATAATTCAAATATTTTAATAATTAAAAATGCAATAAAAAATTAACTAAGCATTAAAAACATAAAAAAATTCTTGAATTCTGGAAATTATTTATCATTATTAAACTATTTTAATTTAACTGAAATGTATATAATTAAAATTAATATAAATTAAACATTAAAAACAATTGTTGTAATTTAATATAACATAATATAATGAAATGATAATGTAAATAATTAATTAATAAAAAATAATAAAATGATTCATTTACTAAACATTAAAAAACATTAAAAAAAAACTAGAAAAGACATTTCTGGAAAAATAAATGATTTATTATAAGAATAAAAACAATTAAGTGTTAAAAATATAATAATTTGAACAATTAATATACAGTATAACAAAAATAATTAAAACATAAAAAATATTTACTATTATTTCAACTATAACTAATTTAAATAATATTTTAATATAATTCAAATTTAAGTAAATTAAAGAAAATGAATTTTAAAAATATTTTTTAAAAATTAAATAATTTTAGAAAACAGGGGGTCTTGGATTCACAAAGGTTGAGAACTGCTGCTACACACTAGTCAGTTCGGTGTTGATGAAGGAGTATGTGATCCATACTGATGAGGCTGTGTGGATACACATAAGACCGAAGCGAAGACTACAGCCTCTTTAAACTGACAGCGCCCTTACTAAAGCGAACCTCTCTCGCTGCAGGCTGTGACCTCAGTGTGTGGTAAATTCAGGAGAGATGAGGCTCCAGTGGCTCTCCACGCGCCATCATTTTCACTGTGTTTCATCCATTTTCTCTCTAATATACTTTTGTTCCCGCACCATTGCTTTCCATTCTTTATGTGCACTTCTCCGTCTGCGAGTCAGTCTGCGGCTCAATCTCCTCTCCTCACCCTTCTTATCTCGCGCTGCCCCGGCTCATCATGGCCGTCAAAGGGGCAATCCGTTACCTGTGACTTTTTGTATTAAAGTCTCTGGCCTTATCAGATTCCGCCCCATTCGGCGATGACAAATTAGGACGGCACATTGCCACGTTTATCGGCCAAATCACAGCAGACGGCTTCACTTACTTTCTAAGATGAAAACTACACGAACAAAAACCAGTTCGACCGACAATTCACAGGCACCATTTGCTATGCTTCTTCCAGCTTTTATTTTTTCCCCAGTAAGTGCACTTATAATATACTAGTCAAGGTTTCTTGCACCAAAACCAGTCCAGATTTTATCATGCCAATATGTATGCAAAAGCACCAGTGTTGTTATTGTTAACTAAAACTATAAAAAAATATAATACAGATAATATAAAATTATGTTATGTAAATTATATAGAAAATATGTATATATTTTAGATACTAAATCTATAAAATATATTATAAAAATATAACTATTACAAATATAAATATATAATTTAATATAAAAATAGATTATATAAATTATATAGAAAATATATATTTTATATAATATATACACATAATATAAAGTTAACCCAGCATTTTTTAGAGTGTAGGATTAGGAATCTGAGTTTGAATATTAAACACATCCATCTGTTCACATTAAGTGAGACGTGAATCTTTGAGATGTCTCACCTGATCCTTTCTGGGAGCCCTTCCTCTTTTTGAGGGCCTTCTGCAGAATATCCTTCATGGTGACTTTCTGGCTGTCCACTGGGATCAGGGAGAAACCATGAGCGGCGTTTCTGTGCGTGAGGAAGGCAAATCATCAGTCATAATGAATACATCTTTAACGTTTGCATTAGATGTGAACTTCCTGTCTAAAAGAGCATCAACACTGAGATCAGGACCTTAGACCTCAGGATTGTGCTTGGAGTCTGAACCAATGGATGAGCATATTCGATTCAAATATGTGAACTAATAAGGCATCAAATCATTAGCTTCATGATGAATGTAATAGGATTTTAATGTTTTCCCAGTTAAACCTGAGGAAACTAAATAAAACTACTGGATAAGATCTGTGCTTATGGCTGCAAAGAATCAAAAAAAATATCATCAAGTGATACTGTAATCATACCATTATTATTGTAATATATCATTGTATTATGGAATCATTACCTCAAATGACCAAATCTTATTTAATGCCATAAAAGAAAAAAATAGTTATTTTCTACTAAGCAGTGTTTTTAACTAAAACATTTATGTTAATTGAAAAAAAATAAAATATATTATAAAAATATAACTATTACAAATATAAATATATAATTTAATATAAAAATAGATTATATAAATTATATAGAAAATATATATTTTATATAATATATACACATAATATAAAAATATAAAATAAAATGAAATATAAATATTAGTTCAATGTTGCCTTGACAACCACCTGAATTAAGTTGAAGTATTACAATTACTAAAACTGAAATAAAAATAAATGAAAGCTAAATAGAAATATTAAAAACAAATAAAAATAACAAAAAAAGATAAAATTGCCAAAACGTAAACTAGATTTAAAATGAAAACTAAAATGATTAACAACAACAACAAAAAGGCCAATACAAAATATGAATAAATATTATAATGGTATATAAATAATACTAAATTAACATTGCAGGCCAACCAAAATATATAATTCAACATTATACACTCTAAAAAATGCTGGGTTAACTACAACCCAGTGCGTCAACTATATGTCTAATTTTTGTTAAGTTACAGCTGGAGTACTAAAATTACTAATACTAAAACTGAAATAAAATTTATAAAAACTAAAAACATTTTTAAAAATCATTAAAACTAGTTACTAGCTAAATTAAAATATAAAATTACAAAAATAGTAGTATATTAATTATGCTAAAATACATTGCAACTATGTCTTATGTTTCATTAAGATTTTATTAAAAATATCACATTTTATCATAATAAACAATGACAGTTATCACTTAAAATTATAATATGTAAGCCAGTGATTTCAACTGGATTTTGAACAAATACTCAGTAATTAGATTAATTAAAATGAAATTGTAATAGTTCTCAACTCTTTAAGAGACATAATAACCTGTGGTTCAGTAAGCGAATGAGTCAACTGAGCTGATTCAATGAGAAAATGACTCATCTGACTGATTCAAGTCCATGATTCAGCTGAAGTATTAAAATTACTAATACTAAAACTGAAATAAAATTAACAAAATCTAAAGACAAAATTACTAAAACTACTTACTAAAATTTAAATTAAAAAAACTATTAAAAAACATTGCTAAAATAACACCAACAAAATGCTACTATGTCTATAACATATAAAATATACTATAAAAATGCATTGTGAAATATTATTCCAATTTAAAATAGCTGTTTTCTATTTGAATGTGTTTTAAAATATTTTATTCCTGTGATGCAAAGTTGAATTTTCAGCAGCTATTACTCCAGTTTAAAGTGTCACATGATCCTTCAGAAATCATTCTAATATTTATAGTTCTTGACTCATTAAGAGACATAATAAATTGTGGTTCAGTAAGCAAATGAGTCATCTTTATTTTGACAGGTTGCCATGAAGTTTCTGTGTGTATACAGTAAGATGGTGCTAGTTTTCATAAATGAAACGGTAAAATTCTTGCGAAGTGACTCTCACAGTGACAGCAGCTCTGGAGATTAAGTTTTTGTGTTCATGCCGTCATATAGTGAGACGCAGAGGCCGAAAATCACCGCGAGCGTCACGCGTGCTTCAGTATTTGTGTAGTGAACAAAACCGCATTTCCACCATTCATACATACAGATAGGGCTGCACGATTAATCGAACCAGTTTTAAGTGTCACATGATCCTTCAGAAATCATTCTAATATTTACAGTTCTTGACTCATTAAGAGACATAATAAATTGTGGTTCAGTAAGCAAATCATCTGAACCCCAATTTATTATGTCATCTGAGC